GTAGCATTATAAGCGTATTTCTAAGCAGTTTGAAGTCTAACCCATGGGCAAGACTGCTTATCTGCAAAGCCACCTGCATGTTGTAATTTAAACTAATATGCTGAAAAAGAAAGAGTTGTATAAACGGGGAAATATTGTAAAAGGCTTTTCCCTAATGCTATTTACAAAAGCTATTTTTAAACTTTCCACCTCACAACCTCCCTGACTCTCCCCTACCCTACCGATCCTTCCTTTTCCATCTTCATAAGAGACCTGACCGTTTCCCAGACACCTACAACAACTTCCATCCCCAAAAGTGCTCCTCCACACGACCGGTTTCCTGCTATTTGGCGCCTCAAAATCTGCTCTCCGCACATGCCTCTGACCCAACCCTCCTCCCAACCAGGAGCGCCGCCAGCTTTTTTGCCGCCCTAGGCAGCGGAAGGTCCCGCCCCCGAAATACCGCTGACGACCAGGGCGGCCAAAGATCCGGCCGCCACGGTCGCCACCCCCCCAAATGTTAGTGCCCTAGGCAACCGCCTACGTCATCTAATGGGTTGCACCAGCCCTGCTCCCAACTGCCAGTTCCAGACCCATTCATAGAGTTGGGAACTGGTGACAGTGATGCAGGGATTGGGAAAGTTTTCTAGCATCATGGAAGTGGGCCAGGTGAAAGCAATATTACTATAATCAGTACAATAGAGGATTGGGGACAGCAGTACCTGTAGGCTAACGTTTTAAGTGGGGCACTGCAATATACCTTAACTGCACATGTGTTCACTGATTAACAACACCTATGAAAGTTCCGTAAGTCCTCTGTATGAGCTGTTAGACTTTGTGTCAACATGATTCTCCTTTTGCTGTTTTGGAACGTGCACAATTTCACCCTTCATTTACACATACTTGGGGGGGGACAGGGACAAAAGCCCCATCTACACCTAAAACATAGGTCCACCGAGCTACATTGTTCAGGGCTGTGAAAAATGTCACCCCTTGGGCGATGTAGTTAGGTCGACCTAACCGCCACTGTAGATGCTACCACCTTCTCAGAGAGGTGGATTACCTAAATTGATGGGGAAACCCCTACTGTTGACATAGGAAGCATCTACACTACAGCAGCATACCTGCAGCACCATTGCTGCACCGCTGTAGGGTAGACATACCCTCAGATTTTTCAGTAGTAGAATCACTATTGCCTAGCACAGGAGTTCTCAAACTTTTGCTTTCAGAGGCCCCCCCCCCCACATGTTATAAAAGTTCCGTGGCCCACCTGTGCCACAACTGTTTTTCTGCATATCCAGTAGATTAAAAGTCATGGCCAGCATTAGGGGGTAGCAATCTGAGCAATTGCCTGGGGCCCCACACCACATCGGGCCCCGTGAAGCTAAGTTGCTCAGCTCCAGGAGACGGGGCTCGGGCTTCAGCTTTCTGCCATGGGCCCCTAATGCTGACATCAGCCCTGCTCTCTAGTTTATTTTGGCGAATGCCTTGAAACCTGGTCACACTCCGCCCCCCCGCCCTGCCCCCAGGAGAGCCACGGACCCCCTGGTTGAAAACCTCTGGCCTAGAAGGGTGCTGAGAGCTGCTTGAAGATGTATCTCACACCTTCCTACATCTTTAAAGCACCACTCCACAGATATTTGACAGGTGCAATAATCAGGTATTGAGCCTGCTATATAGTACTATAAAAACATTAAGGAAAAAGAATTTGTTTTTATCTCACGAGATCTAGGGTGAAATCCTGAGGTCAACCAGAATTTTACCACTGACTTAAATGGAACCAGGATTTCACCTTCAAAGTTTGTTTGTTTAAATGACACATCAAAAATTACAGAGGACACACACAATCTGATCATAAAAAAATTTAATTATACCAAGCACAAAATTACAAAAAAAATTTAAACACCTATTTTCCTCTACTTCTGCAACATAAGCATTGCCAAATGAGAAGGAAAGGGGCTGTGTGGTATTAGAGAAATTATATATATCCTATATAAATTCATTTTTGACTCTAGACCTTGTAGGCCAAATTTCAATATGGGCCATATTTTTAGGGCTCAATACTACCCCCCCCCCCCGAAACAGGTTTAACAATGGAAATATAGACAGATTCTTAATTACAGTATAGTGTTAGTAGCCACCATAATTATGGGTACATCGACACCACAAAAAAAACACCAATGGCAGAGAGTCTCAGTGTTCGGGCTAACTGACTCGGGCTCATGCAGTGGGGCTCAAAATAGCAGTATAGACATTCCCACTTGGGCTGGAGTTCAGGCTCTGAAACTCACTGAGAGGGGAGGGTTTCAGAGCCCAGGCTCCAGCCCGAGTGGAAACATCAACACTGCTTTTTTGAGCCCTGTGAGCCTTAGTCAGATGATCCAGGCTTTGAGACTCACTGCCATCAGTTTTGTTTTGTGTTTTTTGCAGTGTACATGTAGCCTAACAATGTTCTGTAGAAAATATAACAAGCTCAAAATTAGAGCAACTGTACTGCATGCTGTTGTAATTTAAAAAAGGGGGAGGGAAGTTGCTTGGGGGCGGGGAGTAGGGTTACCATATTTCAGCAAGCAAAAAAGAGGATGAGAGGAGCCCTGCCCTAGTCCCGCCCCTGTCCTATCCTAGCCCCGTCCCTGCCCCTTCCACTCCCTCCCACTTCCCGCCACCCTCAGAACCCCCAACCCTCCCCCCGCTCCTTGTCCCCTGTCTGCCCCCTCCTGGGACCCCTGCCCCTAACTGCCCCCCAGGACTCCACCCCCTACCTAAGCCTCCCTGCCTCTTGTCCCCTGACTGCCCCCTCCTGAGACCCCATCGTAACTGACCCTCTAGGACCCTACCCCCTACCTGTACCCTGACTGCCCCAACCCTTATGCACACCCCCACCCCCACACAGACCCCTGGGACTCCCACGCCCCATCCAACCACTCCCCATCCCCTGACAGCCCCCCCAGAACTCCCGACCCATCTAAACCCCTCTGCGCCCTGTCCTCTGACTGCTCCGATCCCTCTCCCCACCCCTGCCAGCCCCACCCCCAGAACTCCCAACCCCCTCACCACTCCTTGTCCCCTGACTGCCCCCTCCTGGGACCCCTGCTTCTAACTGCCCTCCAGAACCCCACCCCCTATCTAAGCCTCCTTGTT